GGGGTCCCGGCCCGGGAGGCGCCGCCCGGAAGCGGGAGTGGGGCCGCGCCATGGCCTCCGGGAGCGTGGCCGAGTGCCTGCAGCAGGAGACCAGCTGCCCCGTGTGCCTGCAGTACTTCGCCGAGCCCATGATGCTCGACTGCGGCCACAACATCTGCTGCGCGTGCCTCACCCGCTGCTGGGGCGCGGCGGAGACCGACGTGTCGTGCCCGCAGTGCCGGGAGACCTTCCCGCAGCGCCACATGCGGCCCAACCGGCACCTGGCCAACGTGACCCAGCTGGTGAAGCAGCTGCGCACCGAGCGGCCGTCGGGGCCCGGCGGCGAGATGGGCGCGTGCGAGAAGCACCGCGAGCCGCTCAAGCTGTACTGCGAGGAGGACCAGATGCCCATCTGCGTGGTGTGCGACCGCTCCCGCGAGCACCGCGGCCACAGCGTGCTGCCGCTCGAGGAGGCGGTGGAGGGCTTCAAGGTGAGGGCCGCGCGGCGCGCGGACAAAGGCGGCCGGGGGGCGGGGGCGGGGGGGGCTCCCTCCTCCCCGCCTAGAAAATGGCTGAGCCGGACGCGGGCGCCGCAGCCGTCATTTCCTCCGCGGAGCCCCGGAGCCCGCGTGCGGGGGAAGCCGGGGGTCTCCCCGTCCCCCCCCCCCCCCCCCCCCCCCCCCCCGGGAGCCCCCCCCCCCCCCCCCCGGACCGAGCGCGGGATGCGCGTCAGACCGCGCGCTCCGCACACGGATCGCTCGCGCGGAGCACACGCGCACGGTGACCGGCAGGTGCTCGCGTCCCGCAGGTGCGCGTGCCTCCGTCTGCGCGCGTTTCCCCGGCCCTGGCCTGGGCTCCGGCCTGTTCTGGAAGCTCACGGAAGGCAGCGGGGTCCTTTCCTGCTGGAGGCAGTTAAGAGCCCCGAGGCTCCGGAGTTAGCAGCTACTATGAAGGTTGAACGAAACAGCACGAGTGCGTGGCCCTTGTGAAGCGTCGAGCCAGCACGCTGGCACAGCCAAACAGCCACATGGAAACAGAGTGTCGAGTGTGACAGTCGTCAGGCTATGTGTGGGGAACGCATGTGCTGTTGTCCGTGTGCTTGAGGGCTGCGGGAAAGGCACACGAGCAACGGCCTGTGTGTGTAGGTGAAAGTGACTACATTCATGCATAATTAGTCACGTAGCCTTTACGGTGCTTTCAGGTACATTATTTTAGGCTGGCGATAACCTTCGAGGAGGCCGCGAAGGTAGTGGTCAGGGCATTTTCTCAGTGTGCGCCTCTGAAGAGCCCCCGCTTACCCCTAAGCCTCCACTCACCTTTTCGCTGAAGGATGCCTTCCTGGGATAGGCAGGCCCCCCGCAGGTTTAAGACACACACACTGACTGCCAAAGAGAGGAGTGACCCCCTGTGCCCTGGGATTGGCAGTACGGTCCGAGGACAGGCTCTAACCAGGGAATGTGGTCTCGCGTGGGTAATAGGCACAATGGCCGTGCTGAGGTCTGCCTAATTTCCAACTGTGCAACTTTTTGCTTTTGCCAGGAGCAAATCCAGAACCAGCTGGACCATCTGAAAAGAGTGAAAGACTTGAAGAAGAGGCGTCGGGCACAGGGGGAGCAGGCCCGAGCTGAACTCTTGGTAAGGGAACTTGGAATTCACTGTGAATGTCGCCACTGCTGTTCACTCTGTCTCGAGTGAGGCTGGTACTTCCCTTAACGTACCCAGTCAAGTCGTCCAGAACTTCTAGATGCAGATGAAACAACCCCACATGGCAGTTGGGGACTCACCTGGAGAACCGAGGGGTTCCCACATTTGGGAAGAGCTGAGGTTGGGACCCCTGGAGATCTGACCTGTCAAAAGTATAACCTGTTAGTTTTGTGTACATGGGGTTGATCCTTGACAACACTGATACACGTGAAATTCTTGGCCATGGTTAGCTTCCTTTGGTGCCATTCTGCTGACAGTGGCTTATGAAGTGGCCTCAGCAACTGACTGATGTCCTAATTTGTGATCGAGGTGTGTGTGTGTGTGTGTGTGTGTGTGTGTGTGTGTGTGTATTTTTTAACAGCCAAAACAAAATAAACTAAAAGTACAGACTTTTTTTTTTTTTTTTTAATATTTACTTATTTTTGAGACAGAGCACAAGCAGGGGAGGGTCACAGGGAGAGTGAGACACGGAATCAGAAGCAGGCTCCAGGCCCCAAGCTGTCAGAGCCCATTGTGGGCTCGGGGCTCGAACTCAACAAACGGTGAGATCATGACCTGAGCTGAAGTTGCTTAACCGACGGAGCAAACCAGGTGCCCCCATAGACTTTCATGATATATACTTCTATATCCACCATATAGGTGCTTGAGTAATTTTTTAAAATAGTAAATAAAATACTAGAAATTCCCTTGGGGTGCCTGGGTGGCTCCGTCGGTTAAGCGTCCGACTTTGGCTCAGGTCGTGATCTCGCAGTGTGTCGGTTTGAGCCCTGTGTCGGGCTCCGTGCCGACAGCTTGGAGCCTGGAGCCTGCTTCAGATTGTGTCTCCCTCTCTTTGCCCGTCCCTGCTCACGCTGTGTCTCTCTTTCAAAAATACATAAAACAATTAAAAAACATTTTTTTTAAGAAATTCCCTAGAGGTGCTTACATCTGAAAGGCAAGTCTTAGACTAGTAGAGTCTGGCACCATCTTGTGAAATTTTGTCAGTCCTGGACAGGGAACTTCTCAGGATGCCTTCAGACACCGCCGTTTCCTCTGCCCACACGATCCTCTGAGACCTCAGCTCCCCTTGCTTGAAAATAGTTCTGACGGATGGAGAGTGTCCTAGTGAGCCTGAGTGGACTCAAGCACCATGCACAGCCATTGTATCCCCTGGGGGACGGTTGTCAGAGGGGAGGAAGACCCATCTCTGAGAACCAGGACTCTTGCACATGCTTCTTGGCCCTGACACTAGCCAGTTGGGTAGATGGAGAGAGTGATACACCCTCCCTGGACCGGTCTGCTCCTCTGTGAAATGGGCAGGCTGGCCTCGTGGTTTTTTCAGCAAGGCTGGTACTGCTCTCTCCTTCCCTCCAGTGCTGTGTAGTTTGGTTGTCACTTGAGGAACCGAGTGACTGGGGAGGGGAGGGCAGAGATCCTGAATGTCCTGCAACGGGACAACAGGGTCATGCCAGGCAAACTTGTCCCCCCACCAGAGTGCCAGTAACAACCCCTTTGAGAAGCACTGAGTCAGTTGCTCTTTAAGGTCTCTTTCAGCTTTAATTTCCCATTTCTAAGATTACATTGTATCCTCTATATCTTTAAAAAAACTCAGTGTAGCTGAGGAGAGGTGTGACCTTGTGGGAAGGATTTAAAACAAGTGTGTGAGCATCACTGTCCCACAGTGAGTGCTTAGGAAGGGCGGTTAGTCAGATGCTTCACGAAGGGATATCCTCAGGAGTCTGGCTTAGAAAGCTTCTGTAAAGGTCCAGATACTAAGTATTTTTGGCTCTGTGGGCCGCATCATCTCTGTCACAACTGCTCAACTCTTGTAACTTGATGACAGCTAAGTACAATATGTGAAAGATGGGTGTGGTTGTGTCCCAATAAAACTCTATTCCACAGGAGTAAACAAAGGGAGTTGAGCACAGAGCTTTAAGGGAGGCCTGTCATTGGGAGGTGGGGTAGAGAAGGGAGGGCGGACTGGCTTTGGCAAACAGGTCTGCACCAGGAGGGAACACACCCAGAGCCAGGGAGGGGGTAGTTGATGAACACCCCTGAAGGACAGAAAGAAGGTACGGGTGACATGGGAAGGGCCTCAGTGACGTGGCCAGGGTCATGATGCAAGGAATACGTGTTCCAGTCCGTCCCCCGTACCTGACCCGTCACTTCCTGGCAGTCTTTCATGCCTCCCAGCCCCCTGCCAGGCAGGTATGTTCTCCTCTCTTACCTTCTGTGGCTTCTCTGTCACTGTGTGTGCTCCTCGAGAACACTGGGATGGGATGATGAGGTGGGGGGGGCGGGGGGGGGGGGCCTGACAGTCCAGGACAAACACAAAGGGCGCTAGAAGAGAGCCTTCCCTCTCCTCAGTGCCCCTGCCTGTCCCCTGCGCAGAGCCTGACCCAGATGGAGAGGGAGAAGATTGTCTGGGAGTTTGAGCAGCTCTATCACTCCTTGAAGGAGCATGAGTACCGCCTCCTGGCCCGTCTGGAGGAGCTGGACCTGGCCATCTACAACAGCATCAATGGCGCCATCACCCAGTTCTCCTGCAACATCTCCCACTTGAGTGGCCTGATTGCCCAGCTGGAGGAGAAGCAGCAGCAGCCCACCAGGGAGCTACTGCAGGTAAGCGTCAGCGCACCTGTCCACACGGCCCGCAGGGAGCTCAGTGGGTAAGGGTCCTGCGTGGGCAAGTGCTGTGATCACAGGCAAGGTTCTTGGCTTCTCTGGGCCTCAGTGACCCGATCTCCTGGTGTAAGGAGGGTTGGGCCCACATGCCATGTAAAGACCACCTCCATGCAGTATCTCGTCATTTTAACATGCACACACGTGTGAGCACAGCCAGCAAACGGTCAGCACTGGATCCGGGGTCATGGGCCCAAGCCGCCCTGGGAGTCAAGCCTGGGGTAGGGCCTGTGATACGGCTGGGTGGCCCCCCAACCCAGCCAGACCAGGACAGAGCTGGTGTTCACTCCGAGCGTGTGGATAGTCTGCTCTGGGTCAGGCACTGGTCCAGGCACGGGGTGAATGGTGCAGGGGCTCTCCTGAAATTCATCTCGTGTGGAGGTCGGACGACAAAGGAGTGAACAGCGATAGAAGAGATGTTGATAAATGCCGTTAAAAGGGAGATGATGGCCCAGGTCACGGGTCAGCAAAGTGCTCCCCTCCTGTTTTTCTGTGGCCTGCGGGCCCAGTGTGGTTTTTACACTTGTAAGTGATTGGAAACCATCAGAATTTTATTTTGTGGAACGTGAAATTATCTCAAGTTCTACCTCCGTCGTGTGCGTGCTGTTGGCACGAAGCCACACAGTGCATCGTTGCTTTTCCACTGTCAGAGCAGAGGGCGCACCTGTGAGACCCACACGGCTCGCAAAAGCAGAACAACGTGCTGTGTGGCCTTTGAGAGCTAGTGTCTGACTCCTGCTTTAGGATAAGAAGGCCTAGCCTTGAACCTTAATGAGCACCGGTATTTCATTGCCAGGGAGCCAAGGAGGACTTTGCACAGGGAACACGTGGCCAGCGTGTGTGGCAGAACGTGACCGGGAGGAGGGAGGAGGACAGCAGGGTCCCACGCAGTCGGGGGCTGACATCCACTTGGTTTAAAGCCGTGGGCACCAC